CCAATATACACGCACATAGGTCTTTTCTGCTGTGTGCATGTGGCAGTTGTAGCCTTTTGCCCAAAACCAGAGAGAGTCTTAGTGGGAGCTTGTAGAAAATGGTGATATGGAAGAAGAGCTGCTAGGAGGGAGGGAGAGAGGGATAGATACATACATATATACATCAATAACAGGGCCCAAAATTCACACTGCTGCTGCAAGGGAGATCTCATTTTCTCAGCAGAAGTCTTTGGGACGGTTGAAACTGGTGAGGGATGTGTGGCTACAATTGCTTTCTTTAATCTACGGTGTCACAAGCGTGGAAAGAAGTCACCAGATTGGGCCCATCATTGCAACTGAGAAACAGGGCTTTCACACGACTGGTTAAGGTGTCTCTTTCAACCCTTTCCCAATTCCTCTGGGAAGGAATTGCCACAGGGAGGGGGATAAATCTGCGCTTTGATGGACTGAGGGTGTTTACAATACATTCTTCAATTGCCCTTCCTAAGCTCCTTTTGGACATCTGGCTTGATATACCTGTGTCTGTCTGGGGTTTTTTATATTTTCTTTTCAATCTAGTCAGAATTTTGTCCTGTAGGTGTTATTTCAGAAAGCCAACAGTAAGGGTGGTTCTGTCCTTTATTTGACTGGCAGTCATGTAAACCCAAGGGCACATGTACAAAGTCAAGATGATACAGGTTGATATGCCAGGTTGTTATTAGCAAAAACTGTACAAAAAGAAGTGTGGATTTCTTTGCTCTTCTTGTGAGGACATCTTTTACAGCTTAGGAGACTTATAATTCTTGAAGCACTAGTGTGGGCCCTTCATCTTTGCTTGCGCTGGAAATGATTTGCCTTTTTTTTTTAAACTGCTTTTAACCTCAGTCCCTTCCAGCAATCAGATAGTTATTCTTAGAAGGGTAGTTTATAAAAACAGATTAACTTTGACAATGACATTGCAGCTGAGGACTGCCAAATGTGTAAGCTTTTGTTGATTTGAAAGAAGTATGGTTTATATTCCAGTGGGGTGGGTAAAGGAGAAGCGAGCTCAAGGTGGAGAATATTTATGCAAGTAAGGAATCTGTCTCAAAGGTACCTTCTGCAACTTTGTGAAATACAAACCAGAAACTCGGTCCCCTTCACTATACTTACTGGGAAATTCTAAAACATGAGAAGAAAATACCTGGGCAATATACTAGATTTCACAATGTTCATCTCTGGCAGGTATATTTTCTTAAGAATTATTCAATATGATGTAGAAAAATTAAACTCCTGCTCATATTCTTAGTGTCTAATATTCTGGCATTACAGCAGAGGTACAGAAGGCATTTAGAAGCAAGTTGAGAGTAAACTGATGAAATCGATACATGCTAAAATGAAATTTAGTCTCCCAAGACTTTTAAGAAAAAGAGACTTTTCTATGGGAGGAGTTGTGACTGCTTTGTGTTACATCACTTTACATAATTTCTTTAAAAGTGTTTTGATGGTTACCAGAGCGTCTGTACATCTTGTTTTGAATACACTC